CTTCCTAGCTTTTGCTGCACTAATCATCATGCTAGTTGGGTGCCCTTCTCCAAAATGAAGTTATCCCCTAGTAGTAAAAACGTGTATTATACGCGAATTGTACGGACAGCCGATAATTTGTGTATAAACGCACATATACGTATTTTACAAAATCTATAGAATTATACGCGTATTTTAAGCCCTCTCGTATAATTCGCGAATTATTGAAAAAAAAAAACAAAAAGGTCACCCCAAAACGATGTCGTTTAGGGGTTTTTACTAAAAATTAAAGCAGACCTCGGTCTTTAGTTCTTCATCTTCTGGTTTTCCTTAATTGAGTTCTTCTTCAGCTTTTCTCCTCAAATCTTCACGTTTCAGTTTCTTCATCTCTTGTTCTCTTTCCAAGCTTCAACTTCAAGTTCAGGACTTCAAGGTACACACTTAACACTTGTTCTCTTGTCTTTGGTGGATTGATGGATTTGTATGGTAATGGATTGCTGGATTTGTTTGAAACACGGTTCTTCTTGTGAGGAGTATTGGTGTTTGATATTTCTGTTATTTTCGACTGAATTTTTCATTGGATTGTTTCCTTTACTGGGTAGTTAACCTTTTTTGGGTATTGTATTTCTGGTATGATATGTTTTGCCGTTGATGATTTGCTATAATCCTACATATCTTACTGTTTCCACTACTTGCTTGTTGGAAATAATGATGGTATTGGAATGTTAGCGTTAGCTTTCTTGTATGATTCTGAATTCATAAATACAAGTCTTTGGGATTTGTCTTCTCTGTTTGCTCGTTTGTAAGTACCATCAGTTGTGAGAGGTTTTGTTCTGCGTATTGGTTTTTGTCATGAATTCTGCACTATTTGAGTGATTCCTTTGTTGGGGATCTTCCAAAGATTATTGGGTATTTTTCCGTGCATTTTATAAGTTAATTCCTTAGGTAAAGAGATGTAGACAAGATATTTGATCTTATCCTGAAAAGGAAGAAAAATATGTTATTGAACCATGGAGAACAGTGCGCAATCAAGAAGATGTTACGAACCAAGTTATAAAATTTAGAGAAAATATTTCATTCACTTTATTAAAGTGCTGGTTTAGGTTTAATACCACACAGAGTTTACATTGTTTATTGATTTCATTTTCGCAGCGTTTTGAGAGAATAGAAGAATCAAATTTTAGTTTTTTATTTTAGTAATAATATATATAGGAATATTGAAGTGGGTTGGGTTTCAAACTTTATGTAGTGCATAACTGGATATATGGCTGGAAAAGCAAGATAATCAGTACCAAACATCAAGTGGGGTCTGCCTCATAATTATTCAAAGTAGAGAAATTAAGATGATTAGATGGTGTAAGACAATTGAATCATACTTTACCTTATTAACATTTTTGTACTAGTATACACTGCAAAATTTTGCTGTTAATCTGAAAATTTTGATATAGACACTGTCCAGAAGATTTAAAGTTATTTTATCACTAATTTCGTCCAGAACCTTATGATTAAAAGATTTTCCCTTTGCACCTGACAAATAATTTTACGTTTCCTTTTGATTATCATGATTATGATATGTTGGCTTTAACCTAATTTACTTAAAACTTCTTGAGAAAGATACATTGAATACTGAACGTGCATACATTGTTTAACATAAAGATGGTAGAGTACTACACAAACCTCTGTATTATTCAGTGGTATGTAGACATTGTCGATTACATAAACCCTTGCCCTTCATTTTTTCTTTGATTGCCTCATCTGCCTTATTTGTAAAAATCCATTAAAAATCAAAGAAGTTGGGAAATCAAATAAGCAACTATTATGTGAAAGGGAACTATTTTGTTTGTTCATGCATGTGAGAGGAAAAAATCGCTTAGCACTTTGTGATTTCTTTTCACTATAACAGCATCTTATCTTTCCCATAAATTTCTATCACTTGATAGATGAATGGCTAGCTGGTGAATATTGCATTAGGAGAAAAAATTGCAACCATCACAAGCTGTATGATTAGTAATGCTCATTAATTGTAGTGTGGGGATAGAGCTAAGGTCACTAGAAGTTGAAATTTTATGCGCCTTTAGATGAGAAAGATGTTGCGGAATAGTGTTATTTTTTACTTATTTTGTCTCTTATGCGCATGAACCAAATCATACTTTTGTGGAAAATGTAATAGTCTTTTATTGCGAATTATTCTGAATAATGATATTGAAAGTTATCTAATTTCTAAATTAAAGTGATTATTCTAAATACAATGCATAGGAAATAAAAAGATTACATGTATAATGCGTAGGAAAGAAAAAAGATTATATGCTAACTTTTTCCTTTTGTATTTGATGATGTTCTCTTTTATGTCTTGTAAATACAGACTCAAATCAATATGGTACGAAAAAAAGATAAAATTTGGGAGCATGTGAGGACTCCAAGGGAATAAATGGAAAGTAATTTTGTCAAAAAGTATTTAGTGGTGGGGCTTATAGAATTAAACACACTTGTCGGGAAATACTGGCCGTGATGTTGAGATTTGTAGTAAGTCAATCATGAGACACAAGCATGTGCATTCTTAGCTATGTTGGAAGTGGAAGTAACAAAAAATTAAAAAGTTCAGCCGATTCTTCTATTGCTTTAAACTCTAATGATCATGAGAGGGAAACAGATTCACCATTTTCACTACTTTCTAAGGGTAGCCAAAACGTCAAAATCAAGCATCTTACTAGAAATGAATAAGAAAAAAGACAAGGAGTTTGTTGATAAAATGCTTGCTAAGTGTTTTGTGGTGAACAATATTGCTTTTAATGTGTTCAAACTGGTGCTTTTGGAGAATTTGTCAAGGCGAGTGGTGAATATGGTGCAGCATACAAGCTTCCATCTTATTCAACTCTTCGAACTAAGGTAATTCCAGAATCTAGAAAAGGTGTTGATGAGTATGTTGCTATGGTGAAGCATTCTTGGGATAATGGATCTGGGTTGCACTATAATGTCTGATATATGGACTGATATAAGGCATCGATCTTTTATTAATCTTGTGGCATATTCACCTGGCGGTGCAGTGTTTATAAAATCATTGGATGTTTCCGAGAAAGAAAAAGGGATTATCTGAAAGAAATTGTTGTTTCGTTATTGAATCAATTGGACAAGAACATGTGGCAATTCATAACTGATAATGGTAGCAATTTACACTGCTGGTGACATGCTCATGGATTGTATCCTCGAATGTATAAGACGAGGGTGCTGCTCATGGAATTTAGCTTTTGAAAGACATATATGAAGAAGTTAATTGGGTAAAAGTTGCCACAAATGAAGCAAGAAAATAGTATGTTCAGACACAGTACACAGTTTTCATGCAGCAATGAAAGAGTTCACCAAAGATAGACAATTGAGACAACCTTGTGCCACAAGATTTGGTTCAAATTTTTAATGCTTCAATTTGTGGTGGATTTGGAGAATGAACTTCGATCTTTGTTGCTTCATGAATGGAGGGGTTTTGATTATTGTAAGACCGAATCAGGTAAAATTTCACTGAAATTGTTCCAGAGTGATTTTTGGGCTCGAGGAAGGAGGAGAGGTTATAACATGAGACCCGGTTGACGTCCATTGTTTGTTATGTTGATGGCTTCGATTACCTGTTTGACTAGTATTCTAGAGCTGACTGTTATGACTGAGATTCCTCTATGCGCACGTAGACGTCGGGGACAAAAAAATAAGCGAATCGAACAAGAAAGATGTAACGAAAATAAAGGTGGGCAGGCGAGAGCAGCCAAGTAATGGGAGAATTTGGAATGGTTTGAGGAATCGTCCGGGGTCAACAGGCATCATTCATCCTATACATGATGCTGCCAGCTGCCTTTTCTCAATCCAACCTTACTTTTGCTCCCAAAATTTTAGAGCGGATAGGGAGATGAAAGAATGGGCAGTGCAAATTTAATATATGAAAACCTGCTTCTAATGAAAGAAAATCATTCAGTATGAGAGAGGTTCAGTTGTATCGTAGTAGGCCAGCTACCTTATTTACTGCAATGGCAAAAACGATGTTACAAACAAGTCATCCTCGTAAGTGTTTTAAAAAATTTCAATATCTTTTATGTACATTGCTTTTCTCTTTATATTCAAGAAAGTTTTTTATGTCATTTGCAGGAATATGGTGGGATTACAATGGGAATGATCTTTCTGTGCTCAAGAAGTATGCCATTCAAATTCTGAGTCAACCTTGTAGCGCTTCATCATGTGAGAGAAATTGGAGTGCCTTTGAAGCTGCTCAAACCAAAAAAAAGAATAGGTTGTCACATGAAATGCTAGACACACTTGTGTATGTGAGGATGAACACGATGATGATGTATAAATTCACTTCCACGATGAGTCGTGACTTGGAACCTATAGATCTTGAGAAATTGGGAGAGCTTCCAGACTACGAATATGAAGAAATTCATATGGACGAAGATGCTAATTCCACACCAACAGTTGAGGGTTACATGGATGACTTAATGGATAATGATGACATTGCTTGGTTGGACGATGCTCTTTTTTGAGTTGTTATTGACTTATTGTTGTTTATGTACTTTGTGAGTTTTTTTACAAACTATAATTTGAATCTTTGTTGTATTATTTGTGTATTTTATTTGTTTGGAGCTCTTATTCGACTTTGAATTTTGATTTTGTTATGACTTATGTGTTTAATTTGATACTATAGTTGAATCTTGACTAAATATTGTGTTTGAGTGTGGAGACTATAATTTGAATATCAGTTATGTATTATGTATTTGTGTTATTGGTTAATTGAATACTTTGTATTTGAAATGTTATGTTGATTTTAACCAGGTAGTCCATAAAAGTGTTAAAACTAAGATTGATATTGCCGTATTTTTCAAAACATATTATTGACAATGCACCGTATTAAACCCGTATATACCCGTACTGTATTTTTTCCGTATCCGAATTTTATGGCCGAATTTTTATAAACATATTTTTCACCGTTTGCCATATTATACCCGTAAAATTCCCGTACCGTTTTTTTGCTGTACCCGTATTTACTAACTAGGGTTATCCCCATGGTCTAGATTGAACTTGACTTTTTTCCTACGACAGTCTATCTCTGCTCCATATCTACTAAGAAAGTCCATCCCAAGAATAACGTAAAAGTCTGGCGTATTGAAGACAATCAAATCTACCATCATATCTCGGCCTTTAATAGTAACTAACTCCCCTATTAAGACTTCATTGGTCACTACACCCTCACCATCAGGCAGTTCAATCCTAATGGTTTGTTCTACTCTAATAGGCATTAACCCTAATCTCTTAATCATACCATAGGAGATGAATGAATGAGTAGCACCAGAATCAATCAAGGCATACAAGAGAGTATCATGGAATAATAACTGACCAGTGACTGCTGAAGCCCTGGCATCTGCCTGCATCTGGGCCACATTATATACCCTGGCTATCGTGTTTCCAACTGTAGGTACTGAAGTTGTAGAACCAATGGGGCAATCTCTAGCAATATGGCCTGGCTGGCGGCATCTGAAACAAACATTGGTCCCCACTAGACATTCACCCCTATGTCTTCTCCAAAATTTCTTGCAGTAACTGACCTCACCTTTCTTCTGCTGGCCTTTTTTCTTCATGTCCTTCTTGTTGGCTTTAGGTAGGACTCCTCTATTGCCTTTACCCTTATCGTCTTTGCCAACAACTTGTTCTGCACTACTGGATTGACCAAGCTGGAGAGGACTACTTGCCATTGTTGGCAGAAGAGCTAATTTGGTCTCCTTCCTTAAGTACACCTCTACTCTAATGGCTCTAGAGAGTGCTTCACTATATGTTTGGGAAGGCTGATGATGTGACATAACATCTCTGACGATAGTAGGATGAAGTCCACCCACAAATCTCTCCAACCGGGTCTGTGGTGTACTGACAAGTGTCAATGCAAACTTAGCTAAGGAGTTGAACTTGATTGAATACTCTTTGACCATCATATTTCCTTATTGCAGACTAATAAACTCTTGTAGTTTAGAGGATATCACGTCTGCTGTCCGATACTGCTCCTCAAACAATTCCTTAAACCCTGACCGCGTGAGAGTGGTGGTATCTTGAGTCTGCTCCATAAGCTCCCACCATGTCATAGCATCTCCTCTCAATAGGTACGTAGCGTACCAGATCTTCTCTTGATCTGTCATAGGAAATAAAGTAGTAGCTTTCTCCACCAATTTGATCCATTGTTCTGCTACTACTGGATCATTAGTGCTACTAAATTCTGGGGGCTGATGTTTACTTGAGAGGCCATAAATCGGTTCAATCTGCTTTGAAGCAACCATTGCTTCTAGAGTACTCGTCCCTACTGCTTGACTTGGTACCACATTGATTGTCACTGTTGTCACCGGAGTACTTGTACTTTCTGGTAGGGTTCTCCTTAAAGCTCTATTAATAGCCTCCTGGATCATACGCTCCAATGTTGCAACATCTAAACCTGAAGCGCTTGAAGTAGCAACTGCTGGGTTAGGAGCTTCAGGTGCAGTTGGAACATCTTGTGCATTTGAAGCATCACTGCGACCTGGATCCGTTCTCTTGGTTTTCCTCATATTTATTCCCTATCACAGTCACATGTATAACATTAATCATCTAATCAATCCTTACATAAAATTAGGTAAACATACTTACAGCGATCGGACAACTTGAGCAGCGAAACTTTACATGAGGGATACTGTCATTAACTCTCATAAATGCCTGACTCCGAAATAGAAAACATCGTAAAACACCCATTTTTAAAGTAAAAAAAAAATACTTGCTCTGATACCAAATGTAAACCCCCCTCCAGTCAGGTATCCTCTCAACATCCCTCAATGAGAATCCCGAGGATACATGTCTAGAGAACAAGTTGTATTTAGAAAAATCTGTGTAAGGATAATAATAATAATATAAAAAACATGCATATAAAATGTCACGCAGGATCCAAACTTATAATTTACAAATTTTAAGAAATTACACAATCAAAACATATTTATAGGGTGGAAGCTTCCAAAGGTATTTCACAAACATTTATCATTTACATCAAGATGACAATAAATTGTCTCCCCTCACGTGTAGCCTCGTTGTCTCTAGCATCCTTCGCTTCTGGTCTACCTGTAAAGCAATCAATAATGAAAGGGTGAGCGCTAATCGCTCAGTAAGGAATGATCCATTTCATTCTAAATGTGCTATTGACCTTTATTTAAATATATTTGTAAACAGATCACTTATCTTTTACATCTAGGGATACTTCCCCTTTTATTTTTTTTTTTTTTCCTTTCTATTTCATATGTCTTTCATCATTTTATCCCATGGCTATATAAACATCAATGCATAAACATATAAATAAGTATGTAAACATAGTACATGCACAATACATGTCATGATATAACATCTAAATATCATCTAACATGAGTATAAATCATCTCATAATGTAAATAACATCATAACTCATGTAGTGCAACTAAATGCATATGAAACATTTAACGTGTAGCCGATCAAACTTTTCTTAGCACCTTAAGCACTTCATATCATCTAGCCTCAAATTTATCTAGAGCTCATATCATCGGGAGGCGTGCTTACGCGTTATTTAACATTTAAAGCATATATTCATCTTTCCTCAACCGGTATACGAGGATATGCTCACGCGTTTTCCATCATGTCTATATGCATCTCTATCATGTCTATATGCATCTCTAACATCTTATGGCATGTAAATACATATTTTGGTGAGCTTAATACTTTTAATTCATCTATGGATTATCAATCCATTTACATTACCTCTTGCTCACATACATCATCTTAAAACATGTATTACATTGCATCTTCATGCCATTTCATAACATTAATCATGCATTGACATCATGACCATGTATATCTTTCAAAGATCATCTAACTAATGGGTAAACATTAGTACATGGCATAATTACAATAATACATTAATAATCAATTCATAATCATAAGAATTGATCATGTTAGATCTTAAACTTTAAATAACCAGTTTATACTTCAGGCCATTTTACATCCATTTATCAAACGAACTGGCTCTTGGCATAAACATAAAAGTTATAGGTCTATGTCTTAACTTTCTAATGCTTCAAAAATAATCTCATTTAGATTTTTATAACTCAAGTTATGGTCGAAATACTGAAGCATGTTTAACATAACTCGTAAGCTTACTAAATCCGAATTTTTCGTATTAACTATGCCACATCAATTCCTATTGAAAATTAACCAATAGGTCAACTTATGGATCAAATAAACTTCCCCTTAATATAGTCTTTAACATCTTAAAGGAAGTGTAAAATCTCATTCCCATAATCATCCATTATTGCTATAACATTGTAAGCTAATGCAAACAACACATCAACACTTCTAATAGCAACCATTCAACACCATGTGGCCTCCAATACTACAATTTTTGCCACAATCAGTATCTACACTTCATTTTCTTTAAACAAACATAATAACTCATAAAACATATAGAGCAATAACTTCATGTATAATGAATTCAAGGCAATAAGTAGAATAAATGAGTTCAACTACGCTTGCCATCAACTAATTCTATGCCTTAAAGCCTTAATTTAAGGTTTCATAAAAATCTTCAAACCCTAGCATAAACCCAAAAGTCATGGGAGGTTCTTCCTTACCTTTTTAAAGAGTTCCTCCAACAAATCCTTTGCCTTTGTCTTCTTTTACACCTTAATCCTACATATATAACATTATACCTCAACATCTACTTCAAATCTTCAAATCACCTCAAAACTAAAGTTTTTAATCCTTACCTTAAACCCTTCAAATTGAAGATCCAAGGCTCCTATCTTGTTCTCCTTGAAAAATTAAGCAAAACTCCTTTAAAACTTAGAGAAAGAAAGTTTTTTTCATGGAAGATTTGAGAGAAAATGGAAGAAATGCTCTCTCCCTTAGCTTGAACGAATTTCATCTCATTTATAGGAAAATATTTCATTTATTTTCCAAAATTATGCTATTGGCCCAATTATTTTAATTGTATAACTCATAAGTCCTTAATTCTTCATATAAGGGCATTTTGGTCATTTCACATTAGACATAATTATTACTTAATTAATACCATTAAATGCAATTAAGCCTACTCATCCTTGACTTTTTCAATGCTTATCCATAGGCAAAATAACCATTTTTCCCCTAAGCCTTTCTATGGATACTTGATTCATACCGTTCCAAATGAATTGACTATTTTCCCCTTAGTTAGATTTTATGTTTTTTAACATAAAATTAACATCTAAAGGACTATTTTGAGTTAGGAACATACCTTTGACATCTTGGGTATTACACTGCAAGTCAGGTGAGTCTTTCTTCCGTTCACGGAAAAGTCTCTGCACTTCTTCAAATCTAAGTTCATTTTCCTTGTTTTTATGTTCTTTGTGTTCTCAAGGAAAAAAATCCGGTGTGTTTAGGATAGTTTTTGGAGCAATTCCAAAGGAGTTTGAAGTTTTTGTGTTTTTCCATTGTTTTCTTAGTTCTTTTTCTCAAGAATCCGAGCCTAATTAGCCCTAGAAGTGTCGTTAAGTAGCTAGCATGGGATTTAGCAAGTTTTTTGGTTTGGTTTTTGTAAGTTCCTGATTTCTAGCAAAATCAGTATTTTTCTATGTTTCTTGCGATTTGCGGGTTTTTGAGCTTCCATTGGTTGGGGGAAGGCGGAGTTGACTTACTCAGGGTATCCATTTGGCTCACTTTGGCATCATTGTCTATGCCAAGTGAAACGTTAGCTTGGGTGAAGATCATTGATGTTAGGTTAGATTCGGTCATCTTGTCGGTTTGCTAGATCGAGTCGAACGTTGAGAGTTGTTTGAATCATCACCGATGTCGCACTTCGAGTCGAGCAAGGAAGATCATATGGAGGTGGATGGGGGGGGGGGGGGGGGGGGGGGGGGTGGGGGGGCGAGTACAAGCAGGCTTCAACCATGGTTGTAATGCTAAAAGAGGGTAATGTCCTAGTAGGCATTCCTAGAAAGGTGAACGTAGCAATCTCCCAGCCCGCTGATACTACCGAGTCGAATGGTAGCAGTTCGAATGGGCAAGGGATGAGTGGGAAGGAGAAGGAGGATGAGTTGGGAGACTATGAGAGTGATTCTTCAGCCAACGGTGGCTTGGTAGAGGAGCTTAGCCGACCAGGTAGCGGGATCCTAGGTGCCAACTATCTGCCTTTGCTTAAGGAGAATGATCTGTGGTGGATTCGGATGTAGTACTACATCCTTGGTTCAGTGGATATCAGGACCCCAAAGAGTTACAATCGGGTCGACTGGGAATTTGAGGGATGGGTGAGTGCGTATGAGATATAGTTTCACGATGGACTACGCCTCCCCATATCTCGACTCGTCTGGGAAGTATTGAATCATTTTATGATCGCGCCAACACAGATCATGCCAAACTCCTGGAGACTGCTGTTATGCTTAGAGGTTTTGTGTGTCCAGAATCGAGTCATGTTCGGTCTTCATGAATTCCTGTACTTTTATTATCTGAAAGAGCATGACCAAGAGAAGAGTAGATACTTAATCACCCTTAGGCACGATCAACGACACTTGGTGATAAACTTGAGGTCGAGCAACAAGAACTAGAAGGAGAGGTTCTTCTTCATGAAGGGTGAGGCTATATTCGGCGAAAGGGGTTAGGAGGAGATATCATATACATGGAGAGCCACGGGTGAGAGACTGATTCTTGCTTAATAGTTGTGATTACTAAGTCTTATTCTCTTTGTCTTTTGCAGATCTCGACTTCAATCGAACCAGATAGAGCTCAGACAGTCTTGATGTGATGATAAGGCAAGTTCTCGCCATTCCAGAGGAAGAGAGAGATTGGAGGGTGATCTTGAAAGAGTCCAACCTAAGGATGAGTCTTCTGTGGGTCAGAGTGGAGGTTGTTCAAAGAGGTATCCCCTTCCCCTCGTTAAAGCAGTATTGGCACATGTTATTTATCCGCTATAACAATT